TTTGCAACCACTGTTGGCAAAACAAAACTATTCCTGATGAGTGGTCGACAGCTTCAGTTGCCATGATGTTTAAAAAGGGTGATCCTGCCGATGCCAACAATTACCGCCCTATATGTCTTCAGAGCATCGCCTACAAACTATTCGCATCACTGCTAAAAGAACGTTTTCTGGATGCGGGCGCTGACGGCAGATTGTGGAAGTCTCAGTTCGGTTTTCGGAAGCGTCACTGCACCGAAGGTGCAATATTCGTGGCTTTGCGGAGGATTGAGAAAGCTTGTGCTCAGCGGAACGGTCAAATACGCCTGTTAGCACTCGATTGGAAAAAGGCTTTCGACAGCATAAACATCGACAGCCTCCTCGATGCGTTGCGCCGTTTTGGTATTCCAGATATCTGTTTGGACATGATCTCGGCAATGATGCTTCACCGCAACTTTTACGTAGTTGACCAGGGCATCACCTCTACCACACGGTGTCAGAAATCCGGCATTACCCAGGGTTGCACTCTGAGCCTCTTGTTATTCATCATGACAATGACAATCTTGATGCATGATGCCGTTTCCAATCTTGATGCACCATCTGCAGTCGCCTACGAAAAAGGAGATTTGGCAGATATTGTCTATGCAGACGACACGTTACTTCTTGCAACTTCCGATGGTCACCTGCAGGAGTTCCTTTCTAGAGTCGCCGATGCTGGAAAATTATACGGTATGGAACTTCATTGGGACAAATTTCAGTTACTTTCAGTTCAGTGCAGAGCTTGCATTCGCACACCGAGTGGAGAACATATCGAGCCTTCGCCTGGCATAAACTACCTCGGTGCCGTCGTCACACACACAGGTTTGCCTGGACACGAGCTTGGTCGCCGCATCGGGATGGCAAAAGCAGACTTCACTCATTTGCAAAAAGTTTGGAAGCACTCTTCCCTTCCTGTTCATCGGAAGGTTCATATTTACAGAACTCTGGTTGAATCCAAACTGATGTATGGTCTGAGTTGTTTATGCCTTTCCGCAGCCGAACGGAGACGCCTGGATGGGTTTCAAAACCGATGTTTACGTCGTATCACTGGCATTCCACCCTCTTTTCTTTCTCGTGTTCCAAACACGGCTGTTTTGCATCGTGCACGCTGCAGTGCCGCTTCTGAGATGCTCGTACAACGCCAGCTGTTTTTGTTCGGCAAGGTCTTAAGATCTCCATTGGACCATCCTTTGCACGTATCCGCGTTCATACCTGGAACTCTTCAGCCTGCTACCAGCAGGTATGTGAGGCGAGTAGGCCGACCGGGACGGGAATGAGTTTCTGAAGTAAGAAGTAGTGCTTTTCGGCATTTTGGCGGCCACCGTGAAGTAACCAGACGTGTACATGACCCCATTGTCTGGCATCGCACGGTGCGTCAAACCATTCCAGTCCACGCCCCGCGCGTCGTATGACTCACTGACTGACTGACTTCGCTGCTAGGAAACAGGATTTGTTGAGGGAATCGTTGCCCCCGTGTGGTCAGTCTCCTTGGTCTGTGTCTTGCTAGCAAGAGGTGGCTTAATTTAATTGTTATTCTTCTTAGACATGTGTAGTCTTTGATGACCACCAAAGCAACCCAGTCAACTGAGTTTTCTCACCACCTAATGTGGCGTCAGCAGTTGGGTGTCACCACCTAATGTGGCGTCAGCAATTCGGCGTCACCACCCAATGCGGCGTCAGAGGGGGATTCGGCGTCACGACCAATTCGGCGTCAGGGGGGACAATGCGGCATCACAATTCGTCTTCACCTTCCAAACAATGCGTCTTCGGCGGCTATACTCCCTAGAACGCCTGCCCTCTGTATACACATGTATGTATGTTATGCATGCTCGCACACATGTATGAATAGGTGTGTGTATGTATGTTTGTACATATACAAACACACGCACACACATGCATACATATATATGTATATATATATATATATGTATATGTATATGTATATGTATATGTATATGTATATGTATATGTATATGTATATGTATATGTATATGTATACATGTGTACATATGTACATGCGTACATACATACATGCATATACAGGTATATATGCATACACGTCCATACACATACATATACACATGGGTGTGTATGCAGTTTTGTATGTATGTATATTCATTTATATACATATACACATGTGTGTGTTTGTTCATGCAAACATACACACATACAGTTGTATATGTATATTTGTTTGTATGTATGTATGTATGTAAGTAAGTAGGCAGGCAGGGAAGGAGGGAGGGAGGTATCTATGATATGTAATGATATGCATGTATACTGACATGTGTGTATATATATATAATCGTAAACACATATATATATATATAGACACTATTATATAAATACATATATATATATATATATGTATATGCATGTGTGTATATATGTGTGTATGTATATATGATGGATCTCTCCATCACTCTCTTTCACTCTCTGTCTGTCTCTGTGCATATGCATGCAGGAGTGGCCCCGCTGATTTTGGAGAGGGGCTGGGGAATCTTTTGGGAGAGGCCCGGGCCGCTGCAACCAGGTATACTCACATTACAGTCTTCGCCGAGTCCAGCCTGGTGTTGTCAACGACCCCACAGGCGGTGATTCAGCTGCAACATCATGTCGTTGAATATATGCGTCAGTTACAGAGGCGAAATCGTTGGTTGACATGTCACTTCTCGAAAATGCGTTGGCAGCCTGAGAGCGCGGCCAAATAAGATCGGGCACCATGCGCCAACAGTAGAGACATGGAGGATCCTGTTTGTGTTGCACCTTTACCGGTTTGCCGAGCCACGAAACTACAGCTTTGCGAGCGTCGAGCCTTCATCAAGGTCGAATTCCGTGACAACTCTGCCAGCGTGTCCGGCATCGCTTTTTACGACCAAGACGCAGATGAAGGAGAACTGGGAGGCCTGGGGCCCGGGAATCTGCCCCTCAGCGTTGCTGACTTGGGCCAACGGCAAGAGCTGCTGGGGGTGCTGGATCCTGAGACCTACGCCTCGGTGTTCAGCGCCCATGAGTGTGAGCAGATATGTAACAAGTGTGAAGATATCAGAAGGCCCCGAAAGCTCTTCACCAAGCAAGCACAGGGCACGAATCACTCTTCACTTCCGGGACCCGAAAGTGAGGAGGTGTTCTGCGCCAGGCCCGATCTATTGGTCCCTGCCAGAGTCGATGGACGAGGTTATCGCGTATCGCGTCTACCTTGCCACGGACGAGCTCGGCTCAGGGTTGCTGGGATTGAGTTTCGTAACGAGTGTTCGTTGGAGCATCTGGGAATTTGAGAGTCGGGTGAACCAGGGCTTTGGTCATGTGGGGTTTTGGAGAGTTTGCAGTTGCGTTTGCTTCTTGTCTCAGGCGCTCACTGGTCGGCTCCGATGTGGCCTATAATCTGACTCATGGCTTCTGCAAGTCCTCGATGCCGAGTGGTGGGGTCGATCTGGGACTTGGGCTGTAGACTGTAGAGTGTAAGGTTTACGATGGTGAGCAGTGATTTCAGGACCTACGGGTCGGCTGTCCCCCGGTATTGTCTTCAATCTCTTCAGCGTTCGGGACTTGGGATTTGAGTATACCGGACTCCGCAGCATGGATTTGTCACCGGGCAGCCGGGCAGCAGAATCAAAAAGCATCTCGCGAGTCTCGCAGGGGTTGCAGAATGTTGCAGAGCGTTTGTGTATGGGAATTATGGGAAATCAACGAGTTGTTGCTTCCGAAGCACAAGCCGGGTCTCGGCGTCTTGGTGCAGATGAATGAATGTAGCGCAAATGCTGCAGCCGCAAGAGCAGCATCCAATATGGGTGGAGACCGGGAACTTGCAAACGAGAAACCCGCACGGTTACCGCACCTGGCAACACAACTGCCCTCTTTTGACATGCAGTAGGTGTCTTTCCCAACCAGGCGGAGCAGTGAATGGTCCTAGTAAGTATGGAGTCTTTTGGTTTTCCGAGCCGCAGCTCCGAGGACCTCGCTGGATCTCGATTCGGACACGTTGGTTGATGATTTCAGCCACGTCGTTGTGTACACGGTGTCCGCTGCTCGCTTAAAACTTAAAATTCCTGGCTGGTGGCAATGCTGTTGATCGTAACACCTTTACTTATAAACTAGCGACTGCAGCATCCTGCAACCCTCACCCGGCTCCACCAGGTCTGGTTGGTGCGATTGTTGCTCAAACTTGCAGACCTCCCACCCATGACAATTTCAAGTCCTCTCGCCTTGTGCGATCTGCTGCTTGTTGTGTTGACCTTGGCCTGGTTGGTTCGGGTATGGATGTTGGTGACCCTTCGAATTTGGGATGAGAGGAGGCCTTCCGATCTGCAGTCGGCGCGCCGCAGCTCAGGAGCTGGTCGAGCAGACCACGCCGGCCTTTGTGGAAGTCGTCGATAAGGGCCTCACAGCCAGGGAGGCGGAGCGATGTGGAGCCTTCTTGGGCTTGTCAATGTAGGACGCACATGCACATGCGTCAAAGTTGAGGCAGTGCACGAGATCCGATGTCAGCCTAACGCACTACTTCACGACTGGGGCTTAGGTGCATCGGGGGTTACTTCAAATCGCCGGGCCGCCTATTTAGGTTAATTGGGGTGGGGGACCTCAAAACCATGGATCAGTCATACCTATTCTGGAAATAGGCGCCGCGTACTTCTCAGCCGAGCCCCACCCCCTCGCTGGGATACCCATGGCTCAGCTGTGTCTGAACTCGTGCGAAATGCAAAGCAACACTGATTCACTGGACGGCTCCTCTCTACAGGCCCTTTCCAGTTTTCAAGCCGATTCGCAGCTAAAGCCGCAGGCAGTGTTCCAAGATCTAGATTTGGATGCTACCGACATTGGAGGGCCATTGGCATGGAATTTGACGGGGAACACGCCGCTCGGTGGCTTATGCACCGTCTATTGGTGACAGTAGCAGGCTGCAGAAGTAGAAGTGGAGGCCGCGTTTATTACCGTACCTATTCTCGTCTGGTATTCACAGTGAAGTGCCATATCATGTTTGCAGCCGACCATCCAGCCCCCCCCCCCGTATTTCAAGATTGTTTTCTTCCAGATGGTCAGCCGCCAAGGTCAGACTTGACGCAGATCACGCACCCAGTCGCAGAGATTACGTTAAGTCTCGATCCTCTGGAGTGGGGGTTCCAGAGTCTTTTGGGTTTCCGCAGCTACGGACTCACGTATCTCTGTAAGGCATTATGCCATCTACCTCGGCTGGGTGGAAGTGGTCTACGGGGCCGCGAGCTCTACGACCAAGAACATAACGAACATGTCGGAGGCTCCCGCGGGCCATGTCCTGCCACAGTCAGAAGACAAAGCAAAAGAAGCAACTGTCGACGCTTCTAGATTAGCATCTGTACGGGAAGTTCGGAGGATATGATGAATGCAGTGGTTCTGAAAGCACTTTTGTCTCTGAGATTCAACGTGTTGCTTTGCGGACTGAGTTTCAGGAAGAGTCCGTTGCTCCGATCACGTCCACCACAGTGACCACGGTGACCACCATAACGAGTACTTCCACAAGCACTGTGCCACCCACTACAATCAACGGCTCTGATGACTCGGACGCGCCTGCTTCTTGGACAGCATCACAGGCTCAGAGCTGTCTGGTTGCCACGGTCTCTGAGCCTCAAAGCGCTCCCGTGGCTTAGGACACAAGCGACGGCGCCAACCAGTCGGATGACGACACGGGCAACGTCAGTGAATCCAATGACAGCAATGGCAGCACCTCCAGTGATAGCGAAACAAGCGACTTCTACAATGCATCGCAAGAGACACCTGCTGCTCAGGCACGTTGCGCCAGGTCTCCACAACCGCTGTCTCTGCCTGTGATGCAGCCTGCAGGATGGCGCACGGCTCGAGGACGAGGACAATGAAAGTTACAACGAAGGTAACGACAGCAACTGGAGCAACTTCTCGTTGCAGGCGGACAGGGTGCGGCATGGCTTCTTGTTGCAGCTGCCAGCTGTTGGCATTTACAGGTTGGGACAACGAGACAGCCCACTACCATGCAACTTGGCTTGAGCCGGAGCTTGGACGGAGTTGACGCTCAGTCGTGTGCAGGACCTTGACAACGTCACTGGTCTACGTCAGAGGCGGGAGAGTCTTCGTTCGGGCCCATGTAATGTAGGTCAAGCTGCAAGTTTCCAGTGGTTGCCAGGGCGATTCATCGAGGAGATCTCGGCCTTCACTGGCGACCCTCCCACGATTCTCACAACCTACCTTCTGTCGGCAGAAGCTTTGCCGCACATGGCCTTTGCAATTTGCTGCTTTGGGTCCGGATAGGCTTGTGATGTCCCGGTCATATGACATTATGAACGCTTTCAACACGGCAATAGATAATACATGTCTCCAGGTCAAGTAGATCTGCAATACAGAAATTTGCAAAACAAGGCACCGAAGCAACTGACAGACACAGGCAATACAAACGGAACTCAAACGGGAACATACTTGGACAATATTCTAAAGTTTGGTTCTTGCTGATTCTATGCTCATGCGGATCTCACCTTATTCCCCTTTGCTTTTGATTTTTGGCCGCATATTGGATCTGGCCTTCGATTTTCGATATTTTTCAATGTTCTTGTCTGGGTTTTCATAGAGTTATCAGGCCGTGGTGCCATCCCAAGATTGGTCATACAGGATCGTTGCCCGTCCCATCTTCTCCAAACTTGCGGCAGCTGTAAGCGCCGGTGAAACTGAGGAGACTGACCTGTCCAACTTCACTCACCTCTTTGTCTACGTGCCTTGGCGATGTTCCGGCAGGTCATGACCTATCATGGCCGGCCTGCAAAGCTGTGTACTGGCATCCACCTCCGAAGGAGTCAGTGATGTAAGATTAGACAGAGAAAAGCCACGGCTTGTGTCTTCAATGGTCAGTCAATACCGGGTTCAAGTTCATTTGCGGTACAGAGCTTCTCCGAAGATCGGAATCCCTCTTGTCAAATTTGCTCGCGTCATCGTCAACTGCGACAGCAGTAGCTTTCTTCGTTACTTTATGTTACTTTGCCATACTTGTGCGTTTACCCGACTCCATAGCGGTCGTTCTGGCGCTCGGCTGCCCCATGTGGCCGGTGCTTCGGCGCAAGGTCCGGACGTCCTTCACAGACCAGTCCACCCCGGCCGCGGCGCAGATCACAGTCACGCGACCGCATCTAGAACTGACGCTTTCTACACCTACCTTGTAAGGGAAGAAAAACTGCTCTCATCTGGTCGCAATGCGTGCATGCGGACATGGGAGGTGTCAGGATGCTGTTGTTGTTGTTGTTGTTGTTGTTGTTGTTGTGGTTGTGGTTGTGGTTGTGGTTGTCGTTGTCGTTGTCGTTGTTGTTGTTGTTGTTGATGATGCTCCTGAGTTTGGCGCCTCAGCAGATCCGGCACCACTCCCTCACCATCAACAGAAATCAACGTCGGAATGATCACCACCAGTCCACTGCCCGCCACCGCCACCTCCACGCCATCGCCACCGCCAAAGGCAAACAATAGCAGCAACAAGACCAAATTTTCCACCTACTCTTACTCGTGTTACTTCGAATGCTACTGTTGCGGCACAGAGGAGATCGACAAATATATGGCAAAAGTAGTTCTTCGGTCTTCGTCATAATTTATTCTGGACAGAATTCACCTGTAATGGCGCAAACTGTCGCTATACCCAAGGGTCCCAATGCACGTAATGCTCGCCAGAACAATGCTGATCTGTGGTTCTCATGGCAATTCTAATTCTTCTTGAAACCCTCTCTTGGCCTCGTCTCTCGTTCGCGACCAAGCCTGAGCACTGGTGTCAGAGGACGTGGATGCAAGCACTTCAAGCATCCAGTTCACTGACTATGACCTGGATGAAACACAGATTGGTGGCACGGTGAGCTTTCTCCCACCCATCGACATGCAATTTGCTTCCCGGCTGCATGTTGGGGCTATGTGTCTCGGAATTTGGCCCATAAACACAGCTCAGTGGCGGAAGTACAAGTATTGTCTAAACAACCTTCTTCCGTTTGTTGTTTCTTGTGCCCTTCCGGCCCATTCCAGTGGCAACGGATACAGAAATAGTCCTGCGTAGGCTTTATGGGCCAAGGTGGAGGCTTTGCACATCAAGCTGGCCTATGGAAGTCCTAGCGTACCTTGGCCTTCTTGCTGCCATGTGGTGCCGTTGCAACGAGAGCAGAGAGGTCTACGGTCTACCAGTCTACCAGGGCGGTTTTGGGGAAGTGGTGAAGCACGCCAAGAGCTCGCTCTAGTCTAGTCATGCGTCTGGTGTGGTTTGGCTTGCATGAGATTCCAGACACATATTTGGTTCTCAGTGGCAAAGACGGCCTCCTTGGGGTTGAAGTCGAATGTCAATGGGGATTGGTGCTCAAGCGTTTGTTTCGCAGACAGCTGGGCTCCGTAATGTAGACGGCTCGAACGATCGACATTCAGAGGAGCCTCTGAATGCCCAGCACTCATCATAAACAGTTGGCCTTGCTGGCTTGCTTGAAACCAGGAGTTCGAACCAAGAAAGAACAAGTGCTCGTAGCAAAGTCGATGAATGTCTAGATGTCTCGAAGTTACACAAGTCTCATGAGTCTCGCAAAACTCATGAATCGTACTTCTGATCTCCAGCGACTCTTCCGCAATCGCGGGGTTCTTGCCTCCCGAAGCCTTGGCATGCATGCACGACAGTAGCTGCGGGCAAGTGTCTCGGTCCTGCATTCCAGGGTGGAGGACTTCTCCACACACTTCCGAAGCCCGGAATTCAAAAAATGCAACCCTGAACTTTTCCGACATGTCGCTTCCAGGAGATTCGCTCTCAAATTGGTGAAACCATTCTTGCCACTTGGGTATCATCTATGGATGCTTCTTTGCACCGCTGAGCGGGCTTGCGGAGACTTGAGGCGGGCTGAAATCAGGAGTTAACGTTTTTCGATTTGCTGCTTTTGGCAAAAGAAGTAAATGGAGTTCGGGGGAGCTAGAGGTGACGTGCTTAGAGTTGGAGGGCCCGAGCTTCCGACCGTTTTCCGAAAGCCACCTTGACAGAAAATACTCACAATCAGCCAAGGTCTCTGACTTGACCTTCACTTCTGACGCCGGCAGACTGCCCGAAGAGGTGCAGTCTGGCAATACTAGTACCTTTGTATGCGGGTGAGGATGCTAATTGCACTTCGGAGCTGAAGCCCCGAACTTGGTTTCCTGCTGGTGTGGCAACCTCACCGCATGCAGACGCATGGAAGCAGAAGTTCGCGACGGCAGGACCGCGTTCAACGCTCCGTCGCGGCCAACACCTGGATAGGTGACTTCACACACCTCTCTGTCTACACTAGGCCAGGTCGGTTGAGAACATGCTTTCTGGAGAGGAAGCCTTCAGCACAGTTTGACGAGGAATCGAGGGGTTAGTGAGTGGGGGGGCATTGTGTTCTGGGACTGCCGCGGGGGGAGGGGGCTGGGGTCGGCCGTCTGAGAACGTCGTAAAGGTAAACTCGACTGCATTGTTTGTTTTCACTCCGAAACAGAATGTACAGAACATGCATGTATGTGTGTGATTAATCGTTTCCCCTAATATTAAACGGGCCCCCGCCCCCCCAACAAAAACTCTGAAAGCGTTTTTTTATGATTAGGGGGTACTTTTATCTCTTCTGCCACTTTTGAGGGGTTGTGCTCTTGCTCCTGCTCTGGCTCTTGCTCCCGTGCTGGCTTTTGCTCCTGCTTCTGCTGCATCTCGTGCGCCTGCCCCTGCTCTTGCTGTTGCTCCTGCATTTGATCTGACTGCGCTTTGAGGCTCTACGAGTATCTGGAGCCTCGAAGCCCTCCCCCTTAATTGAAAACTGGTTTTAAAGGACAGGGATAATTTCGGGAGGATTCGCCCCAATGTGTGTTTATTATTAGGGGGTGTTTTGTAAAAGGGGGAATGGAGTATATGCATATATATATATATATGTATATATTCGCAAGTACATTATATATCGGGTCTCTAGGGAGATAGACAGAACGATGGAGGTAATGGATGTATAGATATGTAGATAGTTTTCGGAATTTGTACTGTATATAGATATACAGGTATATAGGTTTATAGGTATATAGGTATATAGGTATATAGATGTATAGAGATATAGGTAGATATATATATATATATATATATGTATGTATGTATATATATATATATGTATATAGGTACACATTATGGGTATAGATATACAGGTATATCGATACGTTGATATGCAGACATACATACATACACACATACATACATACATACATACATACATACATACATACATACATACATATGTATAGGTATAGATACAGAGATAGGTAAAGATATTAAAATGGGACAGAATTTTTTGTACACATATGGATGCACACGTATCTCGACATATAATATGTGGATATATATATATATATACGTATACATATACATA